AAAATCAATTGAAATATGATTATTTCAGAAGCTTTTGAAGTTACTATTTCCATCAACAAATTTCTCATTCCTTTTAGCCAGCTAATAGAATCTTTTGATAACGAATGTCAATTCTTCATCATTAGACGTTCCATAGGAATTTTCTTCAACAGGCTTGAGGAAAGTAGATTTCTTTGACAACTTCTATTCATCTAATTCCTTTTCTTTACTTTGAAGATTACTAATCAAACTTTTAAGACTCATCATACTCAAGTTTTTGACTTCCTGAATAGTTGTGACTTTTGGTCTAAATCTAGCAGACAAACTTCTCCAAATTTTCTTGGAAAGATTAGATGAAGTGTAACTTGTTAAGCTCTAAATAGTTTTCTTCAAATTTAGAACACAAGGATTCAAAGATAGTCTTACTAGTAGACATACCAACGATGTTGATATACTCAGAATGAGGTAGAGCATCTACCAGAATGCTCCTAACTTCAAGATGATTTATGTAAAGCTTCTTCTGAGCTGGTATGAGATATTTTCTATCTTTGATAATCTCAACACCATCAACTTCTTTGGAAATACCTTTCTCAAGTTTATTCCATAGATCTTTCATTAAAACCCTTTATCAAGACAAAAGATATATGAATAAGCTTTTGTTTTCCATCATTTAAATTCAATAGAGTCACCACTGAATATGGGAGGATTAGAAAAGCAAAATCCTTTTCATATGGTACTTGATTCCTTCTTGAAAAAAATCTTCAGCAAGCATATTATTCTCTTTGGATCTTTATCTGCATCACTGTTAAGTATTATGCATAGACCATGCTCTTATGCGAACTAAAGATGAGAAAAATACACAAGAAAGAGGGTTGGATTGTGCTCATCCTTTATGCTTTACTTCTAAACAAAGTTCAGATTCTAAACATGTTTAGATTGTGATTATAAGTTGCAGCGGAATAATAACAAAAGCAAATAAATAATAATAGAATACACAAGGATTTATCCTGATTCCTCTCAAACTGAGAGTAGTCCAGTCTCCATGCAACACATGAGATTTTTCACTATAATCAACTAATGATTTCAATTGCTTGTGCCCTTTAGCATACGACTTTTCTGCTTAGACCTCCAGCCCGAGACTTCTTGCTTAAACCCCTCAGGTTCAAGACTTCCTACTTAAATCCCATGTATTCAAGACTTCCTGCTTAGACCTCAGCCCAAAACTTTCTGCTTAAACCCCTCAAGCTGAATACTTCCTGCTTAAATCCCATGGGTTTAAGACTTCATGCTTAGATTCCACGAATCCAAGACTTCCCTGCTTAAACCCCCCGGGTTCAAGACTGCTGTTTATACTCATCGAGTATAAGACTTCACTGTTCAGATTCCTCGAATCCAAGACTTCTCCTTAGACCTTCGTTCCAAGAATTTTCATGCTTAATAGACAAATGATCAAGACTTCAATGCTCAAGAACATAACAAGAGACCTACTTGGCTCAAGCTCACAACAAGAGATTTTGATGCTCAAACACATAGCAAAAGACTTTCTTTATAAACTACTAAACACAATTTGTTTAGTAGAATAAACAACAAGGTGTACTTGATACAATCAGAGGTACATGGAAATAACCATAACAAATATCATAGCTCTTAAGATTTCTAAGATATTCAATGTTTAAGAAGTCGTAAGGCTTTGTCAATTTATAACAAATAACAAAATTTCTGCATACTCGATTGTTTTGCCGTTGTTGATCTTGTTATTCTTCCATTCTGATAGAAGTGTGAAACACTTCTTTCTTTTTGGACCTCTTTCTTTATTTTCCTTGTTGTTGATTCCAGATTGAATCTTCAACTATTTATATAGAAATTGCAGGATGATAGCCATTGGAAGAGATAACTTGTACAAGTGTCTTTGTTACTCCATAGTACAAGAGACGTTGAAGATAGATACACTAAAAGATCTTTATCCAATGTGTAACTCTTTTAACCATAACGTCTTCCTTGTGATCTTGCACTATAGATTCGTTGAGAGTGAATATCTGTAAAACATGTCAACTCTTCTTGAGTCATGTGAACATAGACTTTAACTGACAAACTGATTTGACATTGTAGCTTACTTTCTGCAATACGGATAACTTAGCTTTGTCATTTATTCTAAATGATCACTAGAAGCTGATACATTCAACAAGTGTAGATATAATATATTGCTCTTCTGATGTTGATACCTTCAGCTTCAGAGTCTACGCCAGCCTATATTATCAAACTTCACTTAAGGAACATTCTTCAGTTTCGAACCACTAGAAGCCAATAACTCAACTTTTCTCAAATGCGTCATTTTATCAGATTTTGAATGGATTCTTCTTAAACTTTGGAATCTTCATACTTAGAACACACACTAGATAACACCATTGTTATTTCAATACTTTTGTTATCATCAAAAACTTAAGGAATACTTGTCATGAACACACCTTGTTCTAACAGTCATCATCGTGATGACTTGACATTTGATTTCACAAAGAACATCTTGATCATTGAACCGTCTTTATAGATAAATACTTTATAGAATGTTGTTCGACATAAGATGTTCTCATCATCAAAACTAACACAATCATCTAATAGTTGCAAATAGTTATACATACAAATATGTAGATTCACATAAAACACATCATTCATCATGTAATGAAGGGAAAAAGAATACCACATCATTTTTCACAAATGATACTAATAGTTTAATATGGACATAAAAAATCATGAGAAACCAATCTGATCTTGACCTAAAGAATCTTACAAATGGATTTAAGTTCAATGTGTATGAAGGTTCCCATCATGGTTTAGGGTTTAGGGTCACGGTTTTCCCTTTAAGCTTTCATCGTTGTAGTTAAAAAGGGATGAATGATACTTATAAACACTTGACACCTATGTCAGTGATTAAGTAACATGTGTAATAATGTTTTTAGATTTTCATGAGTGTACCTTAATTGTGTCACTTTATCCTCTTTACAGGTAGATTCTAGAGTTTTTAGATGTTCAAAATCTTCTTCTCATGACATGTGTCATAATATTACTTGTTATATCATTTAACAAACTACATTTAATCATATATCGTGATTAAGTGTGCTCTTAGGGCAAAACTTTCCGTGCTCATATTTTTTGGTATCCATTCCTTCTTAAATCACATTTCCTCACTACCATCCATGATATTCCTTATTGGACTATATCATATTTGATGTGGACCAATTTCTTAATGGGGCGACGCGCTTCTTGTCTAAATCCTGGTAAAAATAATTGATAAAAAACTTATAAAAATATAAAATAAAATTTATTGAAAAGAAAATAATAATTATTAAATACATTTGTTTTAAATATAAATCCGTTATAAGTTTGAAAATTGATCAAATACTAAGAACAAATCCAATAGTAGTTCCCTAGACATGTTTGCCAACATGACATCTTCTTTTTTCACAAAATTGTTATTGGATGATATTTTATTATTTGGATCATTTAAAATTTGATGGTGCAGAGGAGAATGAAGTGGTATGAATTCCATTTCATTCCATCATTTACCACCATATCTCTTCCCTTCGATTTATGCGGAATAAATAATTTGTCTTATTCTATTCTAAAATTTTTAAATAATAGAATGAGACATTCGTTCGGCTCCGCTCAGTCCCGCTCCATTTAACTCTATTCTACTCATTCATTTTATGATATCCAAACATAGAGTTTCTTTATTAAAGTTTAAATTGAAAGAGTTATTTCAAAATTATGTGATTTAATAGATTAAAAAAATGAGATTAAAGGTAATGCAATGCCAGTGTATACTAATTTTACATTATCATCTAATAGAATTATAACATTTTGTCATATCATGCCAATATTTTTAAATTAAACGGATGATTTGATAGAATACACGTAGCCGATAGGGGTGTGCAAAAAAACCGATTATTGTTAACCAAATTTGTATCCAAATTGTTCCACTTTAAAAATCCAAACCAAATGCTAAAATATAAATTTGGTTATCCATTTTGTTATCCAAATATAAACCGATTTCTATGTGATTTAGTTATTGGTTATCCAAATTTCATTATTTGTTAAATTAATAGTTTTTGTCTCTTTTCATGTTTTATCATATACACGTTATAAACTAATTTTATATTTTAAACCAAAAGATTCAAAATTTTGTATTACAAAATATAAAAAAATGTTTACAATTTATCTAACTACCTAAAATGGTGTACTAATACTTCACAAATTATATGGAGTTTTATCAGTTAATTATATGAACTTTCAGTAATTAATTATATACATCTTAGTGCATTGACTTGTTGAATTTGACTCTACTTTTTATTTATAAATCTCAAAGTTTATTAAAGCTTTATGAAAAAATAATTATAAATATTATAGATCTTTTCACCAATAGATAGAGGTTTTGAAATATACAAATATATATATTATAAATATTAGTTATCATTTTAAGTCCATATAATTTGTTGAAATTTTTTATTTTAGAATTTGTTATTTTCAATTTTATTTTTAATTTTTAGATTTTTTTAAAAAATGTTTTTTAATATTTATTTTCAAAAAATATATATTAAAATATAAATATTTAAATTTAAAAATTTATATAATTTTAAAAATATTATTTTAATTTAACTAAATAATTTGAGTTAAAATCAAAATCCATTTAGAACCGGTTTTAAACCGGTTTAAAGTAAGTGGTTTGATTTATAACCCATAACCATAAAATAGTTTGATTTATAAACTATAATCATAAAAATAGATTGATTCATATTAAATGGTTATTTATGCCTATCCTTTTAATCAATTGGTTTTATCCTAGTAATCAATTGGTTTTGTGCATATTTAAAAGAAAAAAAACTAATTATTGAAAACAAATTAAATTGAGAAATATTTTAAAGATAAAATATGTTTTAATTGCATTCCGAGTCATTCCTTTCTGATTAGGGTTTCATCTGGTTATCATCTCCCACCTTCTCTGTATCCAATCCAATTCTGAATCAGCCATGTCTCACTTCGGAAGGTCAGGCCCTCCAGATATCTCCGACACCTACTCCCTCCTTGTCCTCAACATCACTTTTCGTAAGCTATATCTCTTTTCTCTCTCCATTTTCCATTCAATTTTTCCTCTTATCTTTAACCTAATAAACACCATAATTTTTTCCTCAAGGTACAACCGCCGACGACCTATTTCCATTGTTCGATAAGTACGGCAAGGTTGTTGACATATTCATTCCCAAAGATCGAAGGTATTTTTTTTTCTTTCTGACTACTCCAATTTATCCATTTATCAAATCCATAATTTTAGCTTATTGAAATTGAAATTTCTGATTTTTAGAACCGGTGAGTCGAGGGGTTTCGCTTTTGTGCGTTATAAGTATGCTGATGAAGCTTCTAAGGCTGTTGATAGGCTCGACGGTATGCTTCTTCATTTCATTGTGTTTTCTGTTGGTTTCATTTTTTAAATTGATTTTCTCAAAAAGAATTGATTTTTCAGGAAGAATGGTTGATGGTCGTGAAATAACCGTTCAGTTTGCAAAATATGGTCCCAATGCTGAGAGAATGTAAGTTCCATTGTTTTATTTTCCCTTTTCGTTACAAGGGCGATGTCATGTTGAATTATTTGTGTGTTTGGATTGGTGGTGAGTTTGGCATCGCGGGATAGTGGATGCTGGTTATCATTTTCTCATTCCTTGATCTTGTGTATTTTTATGTAGTTAAGTTTATTTATTTAATTTACAGTCAGAAAGGAAGGATTATTGAAACTTCTCCGAGATCAAAGACCTCAAGGAGCCGCAGTCCCAGCAGGAGAAGGTTTGTATCACTTTTTAATGTCTTTGCCGCTTTTAGTTTTTTGTGGACGTAAGAGAGTTTCAGTGGCTTCTATTTTGTACCGAGAACTATGAAAGTTGAGTATGATGAACAATGTTTCAATTACATGTGGTTTCTTGCTTTTGTTTTATGTTCAGAGGATCATTGAATTTTATTGCCTAAATCATTTCTGGAATTTTCAGTGATACAGTTGATGCATTTATTTACTGATCTATCAAGCCTGTATCATGCTGTTTTATTTTACATCTTAAGGAGGGGACGATACGACCTCTTCAATTTAGGCATGTCGATTTGTCCAATTGGTGAAATCATGTGCAGCTTAGATTAAGGTGGCTGTCTCCATGATTATAAATATCCTATGCTGTACTTTTTATTGAAGAAGTTATCTTTGGATGACTTTTGATAGGCTCTGTTAATTTCCTCTTTCACAACTTCCAATCTGCCATTGAAATGAACTGTAGTTAGCATTCGAATTATCTTGATGATATGCTCAAGGGGATGTTATGTATTTATTTTGATATTTTCTTATGGTTATTAAAATTTATTTCTGATAGCCTGTAGTGTGTTTTTTATTCATGATTCACTGATAGAGTTTTTTATCGATTAATTTCCGATTCATTTTAGGCATCGTGATGATTACAAAGACAAGGATTATAGGAGGAGAAGTCGCAGCAGGAGTTACGACAGGCATGAGCGTGACAGGTATCGTGGGAGAGACAGGGACAATCGTCGCCGAAGCAGAAGCCGTAGTGCTAGTCCTGGTTACAAGGGCCGTGGGAGGGGGCGTTATGATGACGAGCGTCGTAGTAGAAGCCGGAGCAGATCTGTGGACAGGTCTTTATTCATTGATACTTTACCTTTTCAGCTGTGTTTTTTCACCACCATTATTATTGTTATTTTTAAGCATTTTTTATTATTCTCGACAGCCGCTCCCCTGCTCGACGCAGTCCTAGTCCTAGAAAGAGCCCTTCTCCTAAAAGGAGTATTTCCCCTCAAAAGAGTGCTTCCCCTGGGAAAAGTCCACGTCGTGTAAGTCCTGATAATCGTAGCCGTGATGGAAGGTCTCTTACGCCTCACAGTGTCTCACCACGAGGCCGCCCTGATGCTTCCCGAAGCCCATCTCCTCGAAATTCAAATGGTGATGTAAGTAAAGTAATGTTATTTTTGAACTCTGAAATAAAACAAAAAGTCAACTTTACTGTCAAAAACATTTTTTAAACCTGTTTTGACAGTTCAGTTCTATATACATTTGCAGGAATAAGCTGTTTTTCTTGAAGTATTCCAGAGACATTCAGACTAGTGTACCAGCGTACCTGTTGCTGTCTTGAAATTATTGAATGATTTGGTCGATGTGATGGTATTATCAGTCTTGGAAACATTTTATGATCTAAGTGCAGTTTGGTAGGGTCGGATTTCCTTGATGTTTCTCTGTTTTGACCTATTATGTTGTTTACTTCAGAGTTTGGTAGCTTTTGGACCTTGTAGCAGCTAGGTTAATTTTTCAGTACGAGGGATTTTGCCATTTTAGTCTTACTCTATTGTGTTTGCATTTATCTCTCTGCTTCTACATTTTCATTTCCTTTGTTATAGTCAGAATGGTTGTGATCTAGTTAAATCTCAGTTAATTTATAATTAACTTATTGGGTTTTATAGTTATGATCGGGAAAAGTGATTGGGGCCTGATAGGTGCATGTTGAAATTGTTGCTGTTGACGCTGTTTCTGTCATTGATGATAGTTCGTGAGTTTGATGCTGTTTCTATGTCATTGATGATAGTTCGTGAGTCTGATGCTCGTTGCAAGACTATGCTGGTTTTAGGACTGATTGTTTTAACAGTGTGCTGGTTAGAAAGACATTTAATTGCTTGATTTTTTCTCAATTGATCTGGTTTTTGGTAAGCTTTTTTGTTCACTTTATTTCTTAAATCCTACTTGCCTTCTGAGAAATCTGAATTTGTTCTGGTAATCATGAATGGTTTTCATAAAAAATAAATTCTGAAAGGAAGTCTTGAAGCTGTGATGAACACAAGTTGAACATGTGGTTGATGTCTCATAGGAGTTGGACCTGTCATTTGTTCATTCTGACGCAGATATTAAATATAATCTGGTATCAATATGAACCCTAATTTGCTGCTGGGTATGTTACTAGGAGTCAATGATAAAATGTTCCAAGATTACTTTTTAGGGCATTTTACTGCATTCATTTTATAATATCTGCTACTTAACGTAGTGAGATGTGTTTGCTGTAGCACACTGCTCTGTGATTGTAGCTGTGAGCTGGTTGCTGATGCATCTCTATTATGAATGTGTGTTCGTGAGTTATTTGAAGAATTAACAAATTACCATAGCAGACTGTTGCTGCCTGTTTTATGCTGGGGTCGAGTTTGCAATGATATTAGATGTTATGTGTTGGTAACTGATGGTGGGTGTCTAGCTGTGCTGCCCGTATCTGTTGATTCCAAAGCCGCCTTCAATATTATCCTTGTTGGTTTTTCGTGATTTCATCTCTATCATTCATTCTTTCATTTGTATTTGTATACTTTTTATTGCTTGTCACTTGTTCCTTGGAACTTTGTGATCACTATTAAGGTTTCCTGAGGTTCATGAACCCGCCGTTTGTTATCTGTCGGAAACAGGATTAAGTTGTTTCCATACAACTATCGACCACATGCTAATTGGAATTGAGTGAACTGCATTCAAATAGGGTTTTGCCTTTATGATAGTTCTAAAGTCTTGAGAGTATTTCAATTGCTGCTAGCGCCATGATATTGGATACAAGTATTTTAATTGCTGATTTGATTCTAAGATGAGTGACGGATAAGCAGGACATATGTTAATCTCTTGGACTAGATGTGCCAATGTGTTAGTACTTGTGGTAATGACAATGGTAGCCATGTACCCTTGGTGAGCTAAGTTAAATATACATGGTTTGAGTAGTACGTCAATATTTTTAACACTGTTTCCAGCTCTATTTTGTTGGAGAAATTCATAGTAGTCTCATCATTTTTATAAATGAAGAATTAACATTTTTTGGGTTCTCATTTCCAAAATGATGCACATCAATTTCACCTAATAAGACACTGTTAAAAATAGGACTTAACAGGTTTGCTAGTCCTACTCTTAATGGTTATTAATCTACTCAAGATGACACTATTTTCATATTAACCTGGAAAAAAAAAGCTGTTTCTTAACTATGGGATCATTTATAATGCATTTTCAAACATTTTTTTTTCTTTGGGAAGTCTCATTAACTTCAAGTGAAATTTTACTTCATACTCATACAATTATACGTATATTATTACACTAAAATTTTTTGGACCAAAATATCTTCGTATAAATAATTATAATTTTTTTCGTTTGTTTACCGGAAGATTTTAAGTATGTCTTTCAGTTTATATTTTTTTTTGTTTGTTCACCGGAAGTCCTTTTAGAAGTCTTTCGGTTTATATTTTTTTTGTTTGTTCACCGGTAGTCTTTTTGGAAGTCTTTCGGTTTATAATTTTTTTTGCAAGTCTTCCCGTTCATTTTGTTTAATTTTTAATTTTTTTTAATATTCAACTTAACATATATTTTAATATGTTATTTATTTTAAAAAACATAGAAGCTCTTTTCCATCTCCAAATTCTTCCTCCCAAAAACATAAAAAGTTTAATTCTTGAGAAAAACTTTCAGCTGCTTTAACTTCTCTTTAATCACAAAATCACTTCTCTCCTCAACCTCGATATCTCTCAAAGTTTTTTGAGCAAGCTTTAAAAATTCTTTTTTATAGATCAAAATTTAAAGATTGCACAACAGTCTCTCCTACAATTGCAGTAGAAACTTTATTATAGAATAGAATGTATTATTTGTTAGTGAAAGTCAAAAACATCTTCATCTCCAAAAATATCATGTTAAATGAACAAAACTTTAACTATGGACAAAAATATGAATTCTTCTATGCAGACCTACGCTTGAGTATCAACACTTCAATGAATTAGAAGGAGAAATCTAAAGAAGTTCGAAACTATTTGATCAGTATTATCTTTTGTCTAGTTTTCAGTTAACCAAGCATTCATTGAAAGAAGAACAAATTTAAATTATTTATTTATTTACATTAAATCTTCGTAGTTGAATATTAAAAAAAATTATATAAAAAAAAAGAACTGAAAGACTTGCAAAAAGTCTTCTGGTGAAAAAAAAAAGTGAACCGGAAGACTTGCAAAAAGTCTTCCGGTGAACAAACGAAAAAAATGTGAACCGGAAGACTTGCAAAAAGACTTCCGGTGAGTAAACGAAATTTTTTTTATACGAGAGTATTTTGGTCCAAAAATTGTTAGTGTAGAGGGTATGAGTATAATTGTAGGGGTATGGGATAAAATTTCCAACTTCAAGTTGTGTACTTTTTAATATTTGATTTTGGATTTTGCTGAGAAAGTTTACATTTTCCTTTAGTTTTGAAAATTAGTGTAGTCCGTGAAAAACTTTAAATATCGTTTTCTTTCCGTTTTAAAAGTTAAGTGCAATTATAAATAAGCGCAAATTGGTCTTCTAGCAAGCAAACCCATCGTTTGATATGTAACTAGAATTGATTGGTAAATTAGTAGATGTGAAGGAGGGATTGAATCGTAATATAAGAACTCCAACGTTTAAGTTTGTATGAGGAAGAAGAGTGAATGTAAATTTAATTTGAAATTGTTCATAAACTCTTCGTTCATAAATTCTTCGCGCATATCTTTTATATAATATAACACTTATAATAATCCACTAATTTCTAGGCATGCGATGTGCATAACTATTGGATGCATATTAGAACTAGGTTGTCTTTACTCTTTCATACCATAGTTCCTTGCATCACGAGTACTTTAGAGTGGTCATCTGAGAATTATTTTGATCGGTCTGGAAAGTTGTCCTCAAACTCTTGTTTCTATATGATAGAGCAAGGGTTTGTCGTATTTGCCTCGTCTACTGACTGTTATTGTAGCTGCTCTAGAAAATTAAGAAAAGATGTTACATTTTTTTGAGAATTCGCGTTTTTAATGTGCTCCATTCTTTAAATGTCTTTTCTGATGTACTCTTATAATGACCTTTGAAAATCAAAACACTTGAGTGTTGCGTGTTGGTGACTTGAAGCGTTGATATGGTCTATTCTTCATTTGTATGTCATCACACAATTTTTGAAGAGTCAGTTCTAACTTCTTGAGGTGACTTTCCTCTTTCCTTGTTATTTCTTTTCCTTTAACATTTTCTTTTTCTTGTGCTTGCAAAAATCGTACCCAGCATGAGTCGAAAGTCAAAAGAAGATGTCCGTGCTTTATGGGAAAATCTTATATATTCTTTCATTGTTTTTATCTTCGCTCGAGAGAGTAGTCTTGATGGAACCTTTCTGGATGTAGGCCATCTTCGAATTGAGGTGTTTTGACTCCTGGAAAAAATGAAAGAATCTGCAGCGAGTATGTTGATTGTGCCATCCCTTTATATGAGTTCATTTTCTCAATCCTGTGTCTTTGATTTCCTTTCAATGGCTTTGAAATGGAAGTCCTTAAACATTTGATGGTTGTTCGATCGCAACTTCACCCTGCAAGTTGGACGTATGTAAAAGTCTTTCAATATTGGTGTGAATATTTAAGTGGGATACGTCTTTTGACCCTTTCCTTCCACCTCTTCAAGGCTTAATGTGGTCCTTTGACTCAGGCACGGGGTCGTGGTTTGGTTTCCCTGGTGATGACCGTTCGTAGCTTCAGAGCTTTTTCAAAAAACTTGAAGCGTTTCGAAGACCGATTTTTATTGGTTACCCTCTCCATCTATAGGCTCATGCAGTGATATGCTTTGTCGAGGACAAAGTGAGAGGAAGACGCGCCGACTTCTTTCCCAAGTATTGGAATGAAGGTAATTTCTTAATGGGAAATGAGTTGTATGTTTACAATGGGAACAACCTTTTTCAAGAAGATGTGTATTTGAACAAACGATTCAAGAGTTCCGTCAACGATTTGGGTTACTCCGAAGATGTTGTTCCTTGAGATGAAACTTCATGGAAACTCAAAACAACTCATCAAAACACGCATGCTGATGGATGCTCGTACCAGAAAAATGGAGATTATTTTGGTGTCTCAGATGCCCTTGCCTCATTCGTTGTCAACTTTCTTATTTATGATGTGTTCCCTCGGGTAATATTTGCATGCAGATTCAATGAAGGATGAAGACGTGCTTCGTCTTTTAAGAGATGGAATTTGGCCAACGTGAACTGCAGAAAAACCTTCCACTACTTTAGAGCCGAACGAGGATGTTGCTACTTTGAATTCTCTTTAATGGCCATTGGGTGCATCAGATCCTCTAACCATTGCGCATTTGACGAGGTCAAGTCCACTCCCTTCTAAAGAACGTCGAGCTCCTCTGAAGATTGCTCATACTTAGATAACCTGACTAGGCGTGCTCTTGAGGAAGAACTAACAACTCTAGCGCGTTACACTTAGCACACCTCTACCTGCTTTCGCCATTAGTGGTGTTGGTTGTTGGGAGGCTCTCTGGTCTGACCATCAACACAAAGATAAATAACAGTGGGAGGAAAATGTTCCTAGTATAACGCTTCAACGGAAAACTTGTCTGCAAGAAATGCAAAAAGCTTACGTTTTTCTTATCGGGGTAGGTGATGCTCTACGCCCCTTAATCTCACTGGCTTTCCTTTTGACCACGTAGCTCTTCTAGTGAGGGGTGAAGCGAGGAAGGACAAATATTTAACTTCTATCCGTGCTACTTTAACATTTACTCAATTGTCTCTTTCAACATTTCAAAGAGATTCATGGGCTCTACGTCTTAAAAACGCCTATTTGGCTCAATGTTTAACTAAGTGTACTACTGCTAACCTTATGATTATTTTTAGAATGTTTTAAGAATTTCATGTAGTAAGTGGAACATTTTCATCACCCTCTATGTATTTCAAGGGCGCAGGTTCAACCAGATCAGATGCTCAAAGACAAGAAGGTCGTTTTCATGTTGGGCTAGCCTTTCCATTTTTGAGGAGTCAAACACATATACACCAACGATTATAAAATTCTCACTCATAATAATTATAAAATATATGTCTCTTATACCAATTGATAAATTTAATAGAGTTAGATATACACATATTATAGTATATTATAATATTATTAAATAATCAAGAATAATAATAACAATTTATCTTGTAAGATTGATGAGATTGTCGTCGGAAACAATGAGTACGAGAAGACTATTATCTCATTATTGTTTAAGATTTTGACGCACGAAACTTAATTAAATAATTTATTTATTTAATATTTAATAATAATAAATTAATTAATAATTAATTATGTCAATATATATTTAATAATTAATCATATCATGTTTGAGATAAGTTGTTGAAGATTAATATGTTAGTTAATTTTTCCCTTGACAAGCCGTACACGTGGCAAATGTTTTCACTAATCCATTCGTTGAAAATAGTATCACATCCCATGTTAATTAGTTAACAGAAAGATATGTGATACTTATTCAATTACTAGACAAATTTGCATAATAACAATTATAGTTGAATGATTGCATTTGAGTTTTGGGTTGTCTAACATTTTATCAGACTTTAAAGCAAGTAATAAATAAAGTAGTATTAATCAAAATAGTAAGAATTTGATTTGGTTTTACAAAACTATTTTTTATTTAAGAGTTTAAGTTTTAATTTTTAGAAATTAAAAAGAAAAGAAAAACAGAAAAAAAGTGATACACTTCTTAGTGACAAATTTAAAATATTATGTAATTTTAAAATTATTTTTAAAAATAAAATTATCAAACATATTTGTTTTTTAAAATTCTTCAAAAAAAAATAAAATCTAAAATTCATTCAAAAAAGTCTTGTAAGTGTTTATTAAATATTTTGATGTTCCTATTCATAATAGGTATGCATAAATGCATAATAGTTAACCAATTAAATTTTATACGTTATTGTTACTCAAAACATCAATTAGTCTTTTTTTCTTTATTTTAAAAAAAGCTTCTTTTTTTTTTTTTTAATTTGGTCGAGATTTCATGGATCCGGATGCACTGATTTTTAATAAGTTTTCATATAAAAAAACATTGTTAATTTATAAATAGCATATCTTATAAATTAAAAATATTTTTTATATAAAAGCATGTTAAAAACATTGTTAATTTATCTATATCATATAAATTAAAAATTATTTTTATATAAAATCTTGTTAAAAAACCGTGCTTCCGGGATTTCAATCAAATTAAAAAAACAAAAAAAAAACACTTGTAGTAATAATATTTGAGAGAAATTTATGAATTCTTTTAATATTCTTAAGTTGTTTTCTACTTGTTTCTTTAAGATCATGAAGATAATTTACAAAAATATATAATTTTCACAAAAACAATCTTTTATATAGTATTTCAAACCGACTTTCTTGTCTCAAGTTTATCTGCAAAAATAAAAGTACACATATTCAAGTTAAAATGAGATTTTAAAATGAAAATTTATTTTATGTTTAACCTTTTCAATGTATCCTTCCTGAGGCATGACACCTTCAGTAATCATTTGTAGTTTCATAAACAAAAAGACCGAGTTTGAAATTTGTAGATAAACTTGGGCTTCAAATTTCAGCAAGAGACGTCTTTATTCTAATGTGTATCTTAGATATCCTCATTGAACTTTTCTGATTATTCATATGATTTCTATGGAAATGATAAAGCTAATGAATATAATGCTTGTATATATATATCTATCACCTCACAGTAGGCATAAGATACAGAAGCTTGGAGAAAGTCAAACACAAAAAGGCCTGGTAGGGTTGGTGATGAGAAAAACTAGAAGAAACTAAAAGGGTTGAATCTAAATTTGGCATAATTTGCACTAACATAAGCATTAAGCAAATCATTCTGAGGAGACCAAAAATCAGCTTTGAGACCCCCTCTCCTAACTGCTTTTAGGATTTTGTTTTTGTGTGTGTATCCAGTTACTACTACCTTCTGACAATTAGTATCCACTTCCACTTTCTCTATCCCTGCATTCTTAAACAAAAAGTATTACATAAAATCAACAGCTAGCTCATGAATAATGTGACATTAATCAACAATATTTGTATGAATCAAATCAAACCTTTTAATTTTGAGAGGCACTTCCTTAGTCTTTTTTCATGTATACAGACCATCTCCACTTTTAATTCAACAATCTGCAAAGCAAAACAGTAACTGAATATTAATCATTGAACATAATTTTTCCGCACTTTTCAAGAAGGGTTTAGGCTAATGGTCAATTGAGTGCATGAAAGTGATATTGTTGTTCAAATAATCTGGTCATGAACACAGTTTATTGATTAAGAATACATGCATTCCCAAATGATATACTATCAGTCTATAAAAATTTGTAAACTTTTGTGCGTAATTGGTAATGGCAAAACATGCAGGAATGGAAACAATGTCTATAATAAACTGTATAACAATCTGTTAGATTAAAAAGTATAAGGAATAATACCTCCATTAATACTGCTGAGATGAGATGTGATGCTAAGGAATTATGGTTTATGGAAGCGTAGGACAAAGGGAGACAGAATGATTCAAAAACAATTGATATGAAAGTTTATCATATGATATAGAGATGGAGGGCTATTTATAATTATGTTAATTACAAGAGAAGATCAATTAAAGTAGGAAGAAACATTAAAGTACGTGTCACTGTCTTGGGTTTTGAATCAGTTTGTTGTTTGAACTAGTAGTAGTACTTCTACAAGGCAAACCTAAATGCTTTTTTTGGGACAGAAGCAAATACAGCTTTAGAATATGCGATCCAAGTCCCAATGCTTTCCATCTAAGCAAAGTAATGAGTGTATGAGAATTTGAAATGATTGGCTTTGACAGATCTAATATTCTTTTTTTCCTTTTGACCGAAGTTGTACATAGATAGAGAATGGACCCCAAAAAAACAGAGATCTTGGCTTTAATGACAGATCCATGCAGCATGCTGAACATCTGGCATTTTCCTTCAGCCTCGAATTTGTCTCTTAACATATTACTAAATATTGTTGGATAAGATGGTTTCCTTAACATGTTACTGTCCATTGCATATGCATGCAACAGTAGTACTAGGTAGTGAGCATTAATCTCGTCAAACACGAGATTTTAAGTAGGATCAGTCGGCCTCTGAAAGATCATAAAATTTAATAAGTTCGAAAAACATAATCATTATCTTCAAAAGATTAAGTTCAAAATAAATAGCTCAAAAGATGAAATGGAGAAGATTAATGACAATTTCTATTTTAGGGTTAGGAGGTAGTTAATCTAATTGAAATAATAAGAACCGGGTTTTCACTTTAAAAAAACCCAAGCCCATTAGACAGCCAAAAAAATAAAGTCCAGCTCTTTTTTTATGATCTTGCTTTAAAAAATGCTCAATTTTGACCATACCGGTGACAAAAAAAAGATCTTTCTCCAATCATAACACTATTAGACAACTTTCGTAAGATCTTAAGAACCAAGACTGGTGCACATAATCTTTTTAATGATAACAAAGTAGTAGTAGGTAATGTATACATGATTTTTTTGTTCATGGATTATTTATTATTTGATCTTCAAAATCTATATGCTTTGTTGTTACTTCCTGTAACAGATAAACTAGCCATTTGCAGATTATATGACCAACTATATATTTTATCCATCTGCTACATTGAACGTTCATTTCATGTAATTTTGATGTCATTAATGATGATCCTGCGTGGCATTTGTAACAGTTCTATTGTTGTGTCTTTATTAGATACTAAATGACTACAATTTGGTCATTGTAACCATCGATAATTTTCTATTTATAAAGTGAGAAAAAATGCTAGCTCTGCAATATGTGCTCACATGGTAGTACTTGAATAAAGTGTATTTAATTCTTTGCTTGTCCAAGATATGGTATTCTATTGGAGCCGTTGTGAAGCACATGTTGCAAGAGAAAGGAAAAAATGATCAGAAAAGGAAAAGGGAATACAAACGACTCTACTATGTATGCACACAATGAGAATGACAACAGGAAGCAGACCAAACAACAAGTTTGGCATAATTGGGTGGTGCTGTACTTTTGCTTAGCCCGTACCAGAATTTGGATATTCTCTTTCCCTTTTCTTTCAATTTCTCTCCTTATACTCTATCCCTCTCTCTTAGTATCATTCTCTCTTCATTAAAAAATAATAAAAATAGTTCAATATATTAAAAAAATTAAGAATTTAAATCTCATTATAATAATGTATATTAGATGATGAAAACAAGCAATTAAGTCAAATTTAGTTTTTCAAATAGTTTGTCTATGAGAATGAATCTCACCCTGTTAAATAGTTGAAGAAGTATAATTAAGATTTATAAGTATTCATAAAGAAAAAATAGACTCAAACATGACATAGAGAAGGAAAAAAACTAAACCTGACAAAGTTATGTAAATTTTTTACTAGAGACGAGATTTGTATTTGTCCCTATAGTGAATCCATTGGCTTCTTGAAGGCTCTATATCTTTAAAGATCTCATTGCCTATGTGAGTTATAAAAGAAGAAGGTATAGGGGAGGCAAATGAAAGAAAATAGCTAGTGTGTACTGTATAGTAGAGTGATAGCTAGGAGAAGCTGAGATCTGAGGGTAGATTGTAGGTAGCCTGCACATGTCAGTTTAGACAAAACTGAAGAAACGTTATAAATAGAGAGAAAAATCAGACAGTGAGACACTTAAAATTAAATAGAGATGAGATAGAATGATCATTGATTTCATAATTGCAATAAGAAATGTTTTCACTTAGTAGTAAACTTCAGTACGTGTTCATAGTACCTGCATGCTTAAGTTATATTCATGCTGTTTAGAGCGAACTGTTGATACAAAAACAAAGAAAATTAACCCTAGACACATCAAATGTTTCATATCAAATTTACATTTTATATTGCTATGCGAACATTATGAAGATCTCGAGATTATTGATTTGGATAGAGGCATGATTATGCATAGAACATTATGACAAGTTGATCCATGTAGCTGACCCCACTTAGTGGGATAAGGCTTGGTTTTTTGTTTGTTGTATTGTTATGAGAGGGAAAGAGAGGTCGAATACTTCATCTAGCACACAGCGCCTGCGCTTAAATGTCAAGACGTATTGTTAGAGTTTGAGATATGCATGCCATTTCAATGCTGCATTTTCCAACAAGTATAAACACTTTCAGTGTAGTCCCAAACAAGGGGAAAATGGGGTTGAAAAAGAAGCACAAAAATCAATGAAAATATTCGGAAGTTGGAACATAGCATTTGTTTTATGCAGAGAAAAAGAGATGAGAAATGAAAAAAAGATATGAGAATATGGCCAGGAATTTGGATATGTTATACCAAGACAGTTGAGGTGACGTATTTCCAAAGGCTTTGGAGAGATATGCTATATAGTATCGGGTCGAGCATTGATTACATCTCTTTGCGTAATAGGTTTCTCAAATCGCAGTTAATTTTGAGGGATAGAGTTAATGTCAATTTAGTCTTTCATCAAAGAAAACAACCAAATCTTGCTTCTTAAGGCACTCATTGCAATTGCGGGGAAGCTATATACCCTAATGTTCTAGAGCAATATGATCAGCCATTATTCTCCACGTAATGAACAGGGTTTTAAAAGAAAGTTTGCAACTGCAATTCGGCCACAACATAAAGTTTCTACGGCTTTATGACAACAATGTGACCATGATTAAGGCCACATCAACTACATTCAACCACAATTATCTGTAATACCAAAAGATTACACAGCAAACTCAACCGCATTTTAAAACACCGGTAATGAAAGCATTCAGCCAAAGAAAAGAAAAATCTTTCAACACCCTCAAATCCAATCTATCACAAACTTATTTTCTCAATCACCTTCACACTCACAGTCAATCCTTGCACCAGAGAAACAAACAACCCAAAAACAATATTCTTTCATATAAGAAAAGCATAATTTATTAGAGTTTAACATAACAATCAGTTTTTACTAACTAGAACCAGAATAGCTCAATCTACAGAGAAAAAAAAATTCTAAACTGAGAACAACAGGTTTAGTGTTTTACAGATATGTAGAGTGTTATGCTTTTCCTCCAAGTGTTTGAATAATAGCTTCCAAAAGTTTGATGTCTTTATTGCGCTTTGCGATTTCTTCTTGCTTTGCACGCAGTTCTTCCATATGCAGCTCAAACACCTCTGAAGTAAAAAACAAATCAGAAACTATTAATTAGGTTACAGATCACAAATGTTCAAATTCATAATCATAAAATTCCAAATTAGGATTTATAATTAGGAACAACAGCATCAACTAATCTTCAAAAATTAAAATAGATTTATGAAAATAATAGGGGAAAATGGAATTGAAAGTGGAATAGGTTAATACTCGTAGTGTTTTCGAGCTCTTTGGTGACTTCATGAGCGCGTAATTCAGCGGCCTTCTGCGACGCTTCAGCTTGTCGTTTTTCGGAACGAGCGCGAGCGGCGGCGGTGATGGCGGCGTCGAGTTCTCTTTCCAGTGTGTGAACTCGTTGATCGAGGAGCTTAATTGTGCGGGCTTGATCGGCGGCGAGAGAAGCTTTGGCGAAGGTGTCGTCGTCGACGAAAACGGCTTTTGTGAGGAGAACCTTCTGGAGAGATTCGAGATTGGAACTCATCTCTGATAGATTCGTCATCGCTCCGCTCCATCGTTCTCCTTTTTCTTTCTCATCCATCTCTTTCTCTTTGTTGCTTCAACAACCTTTCTTTCTGATTTCATTCTGGTTGCTTTTACTTTTGTAACTGTAAAATTAAAATTATATTCTGTTCATCCAAATATTGGCAAATTTTTACGGTAAAAGCAGTTAAAGTTAGGCTAGAAGTAAAAATCTAGTTTGCTAGTTGTTTTAGCTAGTTAGTAATGGTATTTTTTATTAGAAAAATGTATTTTTCAATTCAAGATAGCAATTTAAAATTAGGTTGTATTTTTCCATTAGAGAAAAAATATGCAAAATTAATTTTACATTATTAATTATGACAATGTGTTTCGTTAAATTAGATGTATTTGTACATATAAAATGTTAATTGTGTAGAATAATAATCATATAAAATTAACTTATGTTAAAATAATCATAAATACGGTTTTTTTGGTTACACATGGAAAATAATGTCCCCGGCTAAAAGAAAGACAATGCCTAAAAACATTATATTCCAACATTTTATATCCAAATGAGTACACCTATAACTGAACAAACATTCAAGATTATAAAAATATTAACAGTTTATATGAGATTATAATTCAACAAGTGTCTTCAGAGAAAAATAGCCTATAGAAAGGAATATAATGTTTATCTATCAAATGTTGTAAAAAAAAACTTCTTTCAAAACAATATTAGTTGTAAATTGTAATATGAATATTTTGTTTATTCTTATAGTGAACAGAGTGGTCTCAGAAAATTTATAGGTTGTTTTCTATTTTTAAAATTGATCATAATAAAAAATATATATATATAAAAAGTTGAATTTTATTAAAAATGTAAACATTAAAAATTAAAGAAAAATAAATTATTTATAAATATTTTAATAATATATTAGTTGGTAGATCTTGAATTATTTAATTATAATTTATAAATATTATTCAAAATTTATTTTAAAAATTTTAAATGATAAATATGAATCGATGGTTTATAGATTTTAAATAATAATATAAATTGCAGTGTCTTTCCTACTAAATTTGTTTATGACCTGCTCTAATGGTTTATATTTTTAAGAGAGAAAAAAAAACTATAGGACACAGAATATATTGTATTATAATTTGGTACTTTGTTAAAATATGGAGGGAGAAAAATTGATTCACACCACATCCAACTCAATAGTTTATAAAAAAAATTGAGATTCTCATTTCTTGAAAGCAATCAGATTGGACAGGTTTAAATCCAACCCTGGTAGTGAATCAATATTTTAAGATATACTTTAGTCTTGTCTTTGGTATATATGATTGTGCATGACTAAGAATATATTTTGACGAGTATAAATCAATATTGTTTAATGATTGATTATGTGATTCGTTAATTGTATATATATAAAAAAAAGAATAATTAAAAATCGTCTTCTCATCTATTTGAATGGTATGATGATTGTGAAAGAAATATATACATCATTAGAATGTAAATGATGTTCATAATATTTTCTATGATCTTATCCAACTTCCTTCTTTTAGCATTTGGGACATGTTTATAACAAACAAAACCAAATATCTTAAGATGGATTACACATTGCTTGTCTCCAGTCCACTTCTGAATAAAAACTACTCCCTTCGGTTTTTTATTAGGACATTTATTGAGCACATATGCTGCAGTGGCAACAACTTCTCCTTACAATGTGTGAAAGATCATCTTCTCCTTTAGCATGCTCCTTGTATAATAAAGCAAAGTCTTATTTCTTCTTTCAGCAAGATCATTGTGTTATAGAGTATATGGAACAGTCACCTCATGTTCAACTCCATTCTCTTTATAGAACCTTCTGAAATCTGATGAGTTGTACTCACCTCCATCATCAATTATGAGAACTTTCAGCTTCTGACCACTCTGTTTTTAAGCCTTCACCTTGAACTTCTGAAACTCAGAAAATACCTCATGCTTAAACTTGATGAGTGCTACCCATGTCATTTTTGTGAACTCATCCACAAATGACATAAAGTATTTGATTCCTCCAAGTGAAGGTATTTCAAATGGTCCACATCACAATACACTACTCCTAAAGCATGTTTTGCTCTTGGAGCCACTTCTGGTGCAAATGGCAATCTATGTTGCTTACCTTTCATGCATATCTCACATGACTTTTCAGGCTTCACAATCTTAGGAATTCTGTGTACCAACTTTTTAGATCTCGAAGGCCCTAAGCTTCTGAAGCTCAGATGCACCAATCTCTTATGGCACAACTCATTATCACCTTCAAGATCTTCTACACTAAAGCATTTAGCTTCAGCTGTTTCCACATTCACCTTGAATGTTCTTGGCCTCTGACCAAGACTGCTTCTGATTCTTAGATCATCAGAGTTAGAGATGTAACACCCTACATTATCCCCACATAATTTAAATAAAAATCAGAGTAAAATTTGAAACGATAAAATCTAGGATGTCACTAAACCACAATCAGTTGCTCATATAACATGATATGTAACATATGTAACTTTTTAAAAATTATTTATAATAACTATAATAACCAAACTGTTAGAGAAAGATTTTCTCTTGATATTTTCCACTTAGGTATTGATGATAACAATAGCATTGAAAGAACAATGGTGTTATTTTATGTGTATTCATGCATGCAGGTCACAATGCTTAAAGAAACTTACTTAGGATCTATTGATGAAGAATAACTATTGTAAAGAAGAACATATTGCCAAGAGATATTCTAAAATGGATTCTGATGTTGGTTATCTCAGCATCTAAAGAAGCACCTCATTAGTTCTACTCTCGGAATTGAAAATAAATTTTGATAAAGCATTCAAAATTTGTGACAAAGCTCATGATTATCCGTACTAAAGAAAGAGTACCACCACATCCAATCAGTTATGCAACTAAAATCTACAATTACAAGGCTCAAGAAGTGTTGACATACTTTATGGATAACCTCTCTCAACGACTCTATAAGTTGAGAATTCTTCTAAAGACTCAGTAGTAAATTAAGTTACATAATAGATCAAGATCGTGAGTGTATATTTTCTCAAACACCTCATGTACTTTAAAAGAGATTAAAGTACTTTGTGATTATTCATCTTCTCAACGGCTAGTTCCCATAAATCTATTATTTAAGAAGTCAAAAGTTATACTCAAAGGTAGAACAAGAAATTAAGAAGTGACTAGAATGCAAAAGAGGATATAGTTGTTATACACTTTTATCCGATTGAAGAAATAACAAAGATCAATAGTGAACAACATTTTTGTATATGCAGAACACACTGTTACTGTTGTAAGGCTTAAGGTTTCCTAAATACTGAATATCCAAGAAATCTTTAAGTACTCAAGATCTTTATTAAGGTCATTACTCTGTGTCTCTAATTCTGAATCGGATACACCTTGTTCCTTTTTCTTTTGAATATGATGTTCATAAGCAAAGGTAAAGTTTTTAACAAGAGTTCTGAGCAAAGAAGTCTTAGACATGTGTTATAAGCAAATCCAAAGTCTTGGACAAGAGGTTTGAGCAAATAAGTCTTAGACATGTGCTTTAAGCAAAGGCAAAGTATTAGACTGGAGGTCTGAGCAAAGAATTCTTAGACATGTGCTCTAAGAAAAGGTAAAGTCTTGGACAAGAGGTCTGAGCAAAGAAGTCTTAGACATGTGCTCTAAGCAAAGGCAAAGTCTTGTACAGAAGGTCTGATCAAAGAAGTCTTAGACGTGTGCTCTAAGCAAAGGCAAAGTCTTGTATAGAAGGTCTGAGAAAAGAAGTCTTAGACATGTTCTCTAAGTAAACGCAAAGTCTTGGACAGGAGGTCTGAGCAAAGAAGTCTTAGACATATGCTCTAAGTAAAGGTGAAGTCTTTGACATGTGTTCTATGCAATGGCAGAAGTCTTAGACATGTGCTCTAAGCAACAAAAAGTCTTAATCAGAAGTTGATTAAGCAAGGTAAAATCTTAGACACGAACTTTAAGCAAGGTAAAGTCTTAGGCAGATGTCTAAGCAAGAGAAGTCTAGATTAGAAGTTGATTGAGCAGGTGAAGTATTAGACACGAGCTGTAAGCAAAAGAAATTTTAACCAGGATTCGATTAAATAAAAAAGTTTTAGATTGTAAGTATGTGTTGTAAAAGTCTTATTTTTAAATACATAATCAAGTGTATTCAAGCAATTATAATAGTAAAAATCTCCTTCTAAGCAAAGGAACTAGAGTACTCTCAACTGGGAGAGGAACCAGTATAAATTTGTTGTGTTTCATATGTTGTTTACTTTGTGTCTGGCTTCAGTTCTGATGCGTTTACGTTTTGGCTCAAATGTCTATTTAGAATCGTAACTATCTTCAGAATGCAAAAGAAAAGAAACGAATTTGAATTCTCACCTTACACAATTTAATCCCCCCCCCCCACTTTCTTGTGTGTTTTCTCACCTTCAATTAGCATTAGAGCTTGGTTTGTGCATAACACTTCACAGGGGTGCAGACAAAGATCTTGTGGCAAAATGTACTTTTCATTTTAGTATGAATTTAAGGGGAGTTGATTGAATTAATATATCTACCTGAACAACGGGTTTAAAAATCAAATGGTGATACTTAAAGACTTTGTGTTCAATATATTGGCTACTGGACTTATCACAAGCATCTCATCAAAACTGACTTCAGTTCCAGGATCAGAAATCTATCCAGATAAGGTCTACTTTATCTTTTCATTTTTTATTTGCATCAATACTTATTATCTTTATAAAATCTTCTTATAGATCCTTCAAAATATGTGTCTTGGATATTCGTTCTCTTTGTACAATAAGAATTTTTCCTAACACTTTTGAAGAAGGCTTTATCATTTTTTTTAAAAAGGTGAAGAATCTTAATTTGAAGAATTGTTAAAAATTGTCTTTGTCAAAATCCTTGATAAAGAAAAGTCTTGTTCCAAGATTATCTCTGAAAATTTTCTGATTCAAATTCTTATGCAAATAAGTTTTCTGTTCTCTCATGTTTTAAGGATGAATTTATTTAGACACCTATATCTCACTTTACATCTGTATGAATTGTTCTTCTTACGCTTA